GAGAAAAATTGTACACAATATAAATGGACAAAGTTTGTCCAAGTTTATACAAAAAATTATTAACATTTGCAATACAAAAACGACATCATTAGATCCACCATCAAATATAATTTCATACTATACTTATTAGGTATTGTAGATGTTGATATTCGTGACCATCAAATAATAAAAGTAAGAAAATTATACAAGTATCTATATAAACAAAAGGCGTTGCTGTTCGTGACCATCAACGATTGGCCCGCTCTCAGTAACCTTTCAGGACAGACAAACAAGGGATACCACGCATGCACGCACTGTTTACTTGACACCGATAGTATATACCTGGCAAGCTGCGGGAAGAATGTGTACCTGGGCCATCGTCGATTTCTTCCGACCAACCATCAATGTCGAAAGAAAGGCAAGCATTTCAAAGGCGAGGCAGATCACCGGAAGAAGCCCGCCATGCGTACCGGTGATCACGTACTTGCTATGGTCAATGATTTACACGTAATCTTTGGAAAGGGTCCCGGCGGACTAGCTGTTCCGAGTGACGCTGGGGGACACGCACCCATGTGGAAGAAGAAATCTATATTTTGGGACCTACCCTACTGGAAAGACCTAGAGGTCCGCTCTTCGATCGACGTGATGCACGTGACGAAGAACCTTTGCGTGAACCTGCTAGGCTTCTTGGGCGTGTATGGGAAGACAAAAGATACAGCTAAGGCACGGGAGGACCTGCAACGTTTGCACAAAAAAGACGGCATTGCCTCCAAAGCAGTATGAAGGTCCTGCCAGCTATGCTCTTACCAAAGAAGAGAAGGAAATCTTCTTTGAATGTCTGCTTAGTATGAAGGTCCCGACTGGCTTCTCGTCGAATATAAAAGGAATAATAAATATGGCAGAGAAAAAGTTTCAGAACCTAAAGTCTCATAACTGCCACGTGATTATGACGCAACTGCTTCCGGTTGCATTGAGGGGGCTTCTACCGGAAAACGTCTGATTAGCCATTGTGAAGCTATGTGCATTCCTCAATGCAATATCTTAGAAGGTGATCGATCCAGAAATCATACCAAGGCTAAAGAGTGATGTGGTGCAATGTCTTGTCAGTTTCGAGCTGGTGTTCCCACCATCCTTCTTCAATATCATGACGCACGTCCTAGTTCATCTAGTTGACGAGATTGTCATTCTGGGCCTCGTATTTCTACACAATATGTACCCCTTTGAGAGGTTCATGGGAGTCCTAAAGAAATATGTCCGTAACCGCGCTAGGCCAGAAGGAAGCATCTCCATGGGCCATCAAACAGAGGATGTCATCGGGTTTTGTCTTGACTTCATTCCTGGCCTTAAGAAGATGGGTCTCCCTAAATCGCGGTATGAGGGGAGACTGACTGGAAAAGGCACGCTTGGAAGGGACTCAATAATATGCAGGGACGGATATTCTTGGTCTCAAGCATACTACACAGTTTTACAGAACTCTATCTTGGTGACCCCAGCATGTCAATGAACACAAGAACAGTCTGCGCTCCAAACACCCGGAGCAGTGCGACGACTGGATGAACACATCAGGACTTTCAGCAGTTGGTTGGAAGCACGTATCAGAGGTGACAACACTGTTTGTGATGAGCTGTACTTGTTATCCAGGGGACCATCTTTGACTGTATTGATTTGGAAAGGATACGAAATAAATGGGAATACATTTTACACGATTGACCAAGATCAAAAGAGCACCAACCAAAACACGAGATAAATGGGAATACATTTTACCGATATTGGGTTCATTAACACAAATATCATAGATGTATTTCTGGTTAAAAAGAACGTCAAAGAGGCCGAGGACAACTTGCTACGATCGTTGATAAAAAATCAAAACAAAGATACCATACTCTTTCCTTACAACGGCCCGTGAGTGTTACTGTCGTGTGCATATTCGGTTTCCCTTATTACTCAAGCGAGGTTAATGTAATGAGTTATGCATGCGTGCGCAGGTACCACTATATTCTTCTGGAGATTAAGCTTGAGCGTGGACTAGTAACCGTCTTAGACTCGAGACGGAAAGATCCCAAAACCTATGCGGACATGACTGAAATGCTCAGCAAGTAAGTTCAATCGATCATAATTATCGCACCATATCGGTAACTTTTTGTTCATTTCCTGATATCTCAAGTAATAATAATTATTTTCTTTGTCTTGCAGGGTTTGGAAACAGTTCACCGCAGAAGCTCCGGGACTACCGAAGGAGGTGCGATATACATACCCGAAAGTAAGTACTACTGCTAGCTAGTTGCGCGCATCTTCGGCCCGTTGATTCTATATATAGCTATACTTTCATCAATGCCATTTATAATGCTTCATTATCAGTTTGATTGACCTCTATTTCTCGTAAAGTGCTTGTGGCAGGAGGAAGGGAATGATTTCTGTGGATACTACGTGTGCGAGTTCATCCACACCACGACTTTGAAAAACAAGCGGGGCTACTCTCAGACAATATGAAGTGCGTAAGCAATAATATTCACAATTTCATTTTATTACACCATCATTTCTGTTGAGTTTCATTCATATATATGTATTAATTAACCCCCTTCTTCAAATTAGACGTGGCAGATGCGGAATAAACTCCTAGAACCAGATCGCATGAAAGCAATTCAAGAGGAATTGGCGGGATTCTTTTTTGACCACGTCATCAGTAAAACGGAAGAATACCATGTGGAAATTGATTTCAAATGCTAGCTAGGGGTTTGTAATTATAAGAGATCTTATACATATTGTACATGTATGTAGCCAGTAGCGTCGGATACATGATACGAAAACTTGTTGTTCGACCAACCTCTCGGAGAAGGAGAGGTCGATCGATCACTTCTCTCTGTATGCATGACGAACTTCTGTACTGAATGGTTCTCTCGATCACTTATGTATATATAGTACGTAGCGTCCAAGCACGGACATAAGAGAGGACACTTCTCTCTATTAATTAGCTAGCTAACACAATATATGAAACACCTAATTAAATTAACCCTCCAAAACCCCCAACCTCCCCTCCTTTCAAAAAAAAACACAAAAACCCCAGCAACTGAAATGCTGACGCGTGGATGCATTTTGGTCCCGGTTGGTGCCACCAACCGGGACCAAAGGCCCCCTGACTGGGGTGGGCGCACAGAGCCACGTGAAGGCACATTGGTCCCGGTTCTGGATTGAACCGGGACTAATGGGTGGAGGTATTAGTAACGACCCATTAGTCCCGGTTCATGAACCGGGACTAAAGGCCCTTACGAACCGGGACTAATGGGTGGTTTTCTAGTAGTGGCTTAGGGCCGGGTCTCTTCCTTAAAATGCCAATATGCCAAGCCCAAGCCCGTCCAGGCCCTACTGATGGGCTCAAAACTCAGGCCCAAGCCCGGCCCATGGGCAAGCCCATCGGGCCTAGGCCCTGGATTTTAGGGCCGGGCCTGAGATGGCCAGGACTACTCGGGGACATCCGATAAAAAAATCAGTATAACTCGTGAGGGCCAAAAATTGTGTCATCCTGATTTTTAGTAGACAACTAATGTTGTGCATCATTTATGCATGGGGTACGCTACCATGCTAAGCTTCTCGGGTGTCCCCGAAGGAACGATACTCATGGCAGCGCGCGGCTTATAAACCGGTCCTGCTCTACCTCGCGAGCCGATGTGGGATTAAACGAACCAGCCTTTTGTCCCTTCCTAGAGGAGGTGGAGCGGTCATCTCCCTCCTTCCGCTACACCGACGATTAGCTGAGACAGCGCCGTCTCACTGTGTACGCCCATGATCTGGACGGCACAGCTGAGTCCGTGGCGGCGTGGCCCTCCTCCCCAGGTTACCGGATCCGGCCGAGATCCATCCTGGACGCGTCGTCGGCGTCTGCTAGCCGCGATGCCTCTCTCCGCTGCCCTCGACGCCTCCAAGCCGTCTCTCTCCGTGGCAGCCGCTGCGCTCGAGTCAACGTCCGACAGCCTCGACACCTGCCGGCGGTAAAAGCCCATCCTTTTTCTCCCCCGCCCCCGTCAAATTCTCTCCCTTCTCTCCGCGGAATCACAGGCTGAGCCGTTCTTGGTGGATTTTATTTCTGTCAGGTCGACCGGACGCGCGCCCTGCAGCCGCACCTGGTCAACATCCAATTTCAGAAGAAGGTGCTGTTGCTGCTGCTGCAGGTAAGCACGACGAGTCACCGACCTGCTGCCACTTGCACTCAGTTTTGTTTGGACGGTGGCGAGAGCACTTAGCAAATGTTGTCGAACAATACTCGGATCGGTGTGGTGTAGTTCTTGCATGTATTGACATCTCAGCTTAGCAAGGGCCTAATTTGTTAGTAGTACGTACTGTATGCATGTCTGCATATGTTTGAATTGAACACCTGCTGCTGTTTTGAAGGTGAGGGGCTGAAAAGATGAAATGAAGAAAAATTGTACACGATATATATGGTGATAAATCATATTTCCTGATAACATATATCGGGATTTTGCAATATAAGTATATTATATCGGGCTATCGAGCTAAAATTGAGCAAGCTAGTGTTCGCTCAAGATCATCTCGTTTCTCGATTGAGCACACTCCTATTTAGCTCATTTCTTTTTAAGTTGAGCAAAAAGACGAGTCGATCTCAAGCGACTCCCAAGCCTCGAGTTTTTTTTTTTTGCAGCCCTAGTTGGCATGCAATGCATATTAGCCAACTCTAGTTCTTGCCAATGTTAACCAACTCACGGGCAATCAAAAAAAATTAGTGAGTAGACTCGCCGAATTTAGTTCTTTCAAGCTAGTAGACTATGTAAGTGTTGGTCACTAATAAATAAAGCTCGCCAAGAAAGCTCTAAAAAACCAAATCTTCCAAGCTTACATAAATATATACATTACATACATATTTACAGATGGTGCATTATTCACTTTTGCAGCAAATGGAAAAGCAAGCACTGAGAATTCACTTTAGCCTATTGGGATCAGTCTACTCCTGTGGTCATGGACTCATGGGAAATCACTAATTTAATCAGTCACGCTTCTTTCACGTCGTACTAGTCTGTCCAGCTGCCTGTTCCCCCCTCGCCATCATCATTGGGCATTTGAGTGCCACGAGTTTCTTTAACTCCCGGGCTATTGGTTACTGCTTGTAGCACACTTCGACTCTGTGGTGTGTCATTCTCATTCACCTCCTGAACCCTGCGTTGCAAATTAAATTAGTATGATGGTAATTAAATCAGTTCTCTAGAATGCCGTAATTAAATCAATGTGCATCTCAAGTTTATGTACGTACCCGTACGTAGTAGCATCTGGCGGGGGACGATGAGTCGCCGGTTGTAGCAGGAGATGCGCGTTGACGTAGAGCAGGAGCCCGCAGTAGGAGTCAACGACGTCCTGCATGTCCCGGAGCTGGGCGGCCATGCCCTTGCCCCTCCGGACGCAGTGCCACAGCGTGCTCTTCTTATAGGAGGCGACGAGTCCGGCCGCGTCGACGAGCGCCTTTAGAACGGAGCCTCCCATCTCCGAGCACAGCAGCACGGCCCCGCAGCACGTCGGCCACTGCAGCAACGCGTGGAGCCTGCGGCTGCACCGCTCGAGCTTGGCGCACTCCCACCTGCTCTGCGGGATGCTCAGGAGGCTCATGCCCACGGCGACCAGCATGGCGGCGTGCAGGCCGGACATCTGCGCCACGTTGGCGGCCTTCGCCAGGATGTCCCAGAGTGCCGCCGACGCCACCCCCATCGCCAGGTCGTGTAGATCGATCACCCTATAGCTTGGTCGCGCGTGTCTGCTCGGTCTTGGGAAAGAAATGACGCGCCTCCGCGGGACTTATACCCACGGCCACCAGAATGGCGATCGTGACCAGCCTGATGTCACACGAAAAGCATCGGTGCAAGTGTAGCCGGTATGTGAGCCTTTCCATCATTCCATGTCATATGCATCTACGAAGATGGAAGTGTGATGTGTGAAAGCGCAAAGGGCTCGATCATGTGGGCCATGCACCTACGTCTGGTTGTGGATTGGCCGTCAACTTTAGTTATTTACTTACGGAGGCGTCCATCTAATCTAATCAAAAGCTGGACAGTATGCGCCGTTGAGTATATGTGTCTATGTTGCCGACCAGCATAATACGGCAGCCACGGGCGTGTTAGACACAAATAATAGGGCTTAATGTAAGCAATTACAGAGGTTAAGACACCTAATAAATCATTACCAGAGGCAATTAGGCATTACCAAAGATGGGCGTGGCCAGGAAATCTAGCCAGAAGTCTCTCGATGCAGACATCCACACATGATGAAGAGAAAGGTGCCGCCTGATGCAGACATCCACACATGATGAAGAGAAAGGTGCCGCCTGATGCAGACATCCACACATGATGAAGAGAAAGTTGCCGCCTGATGCAGACATCCACACATGATACATGATGAAGAGAAATGTGTGATAGCTCCCGGGTGTCCCTGCACTCCGCATGAACAGAAAAATATGAAACATTGCGACATCAAATATGCTCAAACGTTTTAGGAGATTGCAAATATTCGTCAAGAAATATCATGTAGAGAAAGGTGTACACATGAGAGACAAAAATCAGTGATCGAAGGTGCTCAAAACTTTGAGCACTGAAATCTTTTTCTTTGTAAAGCTCCTTGAATATTTTTTAGGCATGAAATCTTGCAAGCACCTATAAAGTTTGAATATTTAATATCGCAAAGTTTCAGATTTTCTATTTTTTTCGAATTTACTGTTCATTTGAACGTGTAGGGACACCCGGGAATTGAAAAACCACTCTCCATGATGAACGGGTCAGTGAAACGAAATGATGGCAACGAACTATCTTGGACTGTTGAACACTTGAGAAAAACATTGATGCAATCAGCAGCCGTGAGGAAATGTCGCCGCTCAACACATAAAAGGGCCCCAGGGTAGTGTCATCTTCCTCTGGTGTTGGATAGCTCCTGGAGGCGTCCATCTCTTTTGGTCGTCAACCAAAAGGGTCTCTTTTGGTCGTCAAGCAACTTTCTACAATTGCTTTATGGAAGCATCGGCCCGGGTGATACCTCTAAGCAATCAATTGTGGGTATTTTTACTAGATGATGCCTAAAATCCGGCCGGACATGCGTGCATATATAGGGCATCGCCCGATGGATTTCGTTGTCGTGCATGCAGGCACCAGGATTGTGCATGAAGCAGTTTCGTTTTTACTATTGAAAGTCCGGTGATCTCTTGTACATCGTATCCAGATTAATTTAAATCTAGCTTTGCTAGGTCAAACTTCTCTACATTATTCTCGTAAAAGAAGCATTTTCTACATTAGACAAATATACATAAAAATACGTTAACTAATTTGCTATTAAACCGTTATTGTAGGGACTATATGCCTACGTACACTCAGTAACATATTAATATATTAATTGGTTCGCTATTGATCATCAAAGCCCACTAGCTAGTAAGACCTAGATGCACTTTTATAATTAAAGTAACTTTTTTTGTGAACAAACAAAAGTAAATTTAACAGTGAGATAAACACAATTATAGTGGAAATGATTTTATAAATTAACTCTTTTTTTGCAGAAAGATTTATAAATTAACTTATCCTAACATCAAGCTTATGTGCCACTGAAACGTAATGATAGCACCTATAATGTATATAATCTCTTTAGAAGGAAACACATGATAATTAGTGAACCTCATTACGACATTGCAAGATACTAAAAAAATAATGAATTTATGGGAGAACAGTTGAAAGTAGGTAAATTCATTATCTTTTGAGGTCGAAGTACCATGTCAGTACATTTTATATACAAAGTATATAAAAGTACCTTAGTCCCGAGTGAAGCATTTTGAAGCTCCGGTGTTTATAGGGAGCAGAGGAGGCGACGGCAGTGTACTCGCTCTCACTCGACCCACACTGGACATCCAGGCTCGCACAGCTGCTTCTGTTTGACCGGACCAGAAGAGACCCCATTTCTGTCGATGTCGATGTAGCAGGCCTTGTACGACGTATAAATAAAATATCACAATAGGCCCAAACTATGTTCTTACCGAAAAAAGGTTTCCCCTGCTTTATATTATAAAGCACCAGACACACGATCACAGGATAACTGCCGGGGCGAACGGCACAACAAGCCCAAAAGGGAAAAAGAAGAAATAAAAGCCAACAACGGCAGCTCGGCAAGCACAAATGATCCGCCACCGCTGCGCCCTCCACCTTCGTCCCACCACACGCCATGGCACCGGCCCGCCGCATACCAAGCAGCACCTCCAAGAAGGAATGCGACGCCAACGACGCTGCTGCCCGGACGAGTCCTAGGGTTTCCCCCGGCATACAGAGGGGAGCGGGTGATGGGTAGCGCCGACGCCCTTCAAGAAGGAATGATGGCACCCTCAGGTGTCACCGCGTCGGAGCCGGAAGAACCGGCAAAGATTTCTCCCACATCCCCAAGCACCGCTACCCACTCGAACCGGGGCCATCCAACCATCAAGCCACCCGCAAGCACGCGGCACCACGGTCTTGGACACATCCACGCCGCCCCGCTGCGAACACCACCACGAGGCCAAGGAGGCCGGAAAGAAGCGCCAAGCGACGGGAGGAACCACACCGAAGCCAAGCGGGAGGGAACCACCTCCCCCGCCGACGTGCGGGAGGCCCGAGCCCCCGGCGACGTCGTGGTCGCCGACCGGACGTGGCAGCAGGGCACACCGGGCCACCCCTGGCCCGGCCAGGTCCACAACGGACCCGCAAAGCCCCGCCGGCCATGTTGCAGCAAGCCGGCACCTGCGCCGCCCGCTCCCAGCCGTCAACGCCGCTCTCCCGCCTCCTGGAGGCCACGCCGCCGGCCCGTCCCGCCGCCGGCCCGCCCAAACCCAGATGGGGCCCGAAGGGCCCAGATCTGGGCCGAGCGGGCTGGTTCAGGCCGCGCCGCCCCGCTGCCAACGGCGACGCCGTCGCCCAGTCGTCCACCCACGCCGCGCCAGGATCTCCGCCGCCACGTCGGACCGCCGCCGCCGAAGAGCACCCCCCGGCGCACACCGCCCCGCGCCGGG